TGGGGAATTCTGGGAGTTGAAGTCCACATCTCTTAAAGTTGCCAAGGTTGAGAAACACTGCCCTACACCATAAAGTAGCATTTTTGGAATCTCTACAGTGTCGGTTTCTTGACCAGGCCTACTTCTTGGTACGTTAAGAATTCATTACCTGCTACTTTCAGTATATTTCATGTCATGATATGTGACCCTCCAGATAGCCATGGCTAGCACCAAAACTTTGCTACCTCAAAACCAGGCAAAAGCACTTCCACGTTCTTAATGAAATAAATGATGACTTCGGCAATTATGGGGGCGGAAGGATCATACGTCTGGGTCTTGTCAATGGTGGGACCAGCCATCCGTGATCTTTGACTTGAACATTTCCCCCATCCCCTCTCCTTAACAGGAAGGCAGTCAAAGCAACGTTAGTTCTCCTGCCGCTTTTGGGAATTACCTACATGCTCTTTTTTGTCAACCCAGGAGACGATGACATTTCCCAGATCTTTTTCATCTACTTCAATTCTTTCTTGCAGTCTTTTCAGGTAGGAAACGTGCAAGGAAGGCATGATCATCAGTTTCTGGAGATATTTGGGGGCCTTGAAGCTTGGGCTTAGCCGGGTGCAACTTTGCTTGTGCTGACCATACAGGTGGCTAACGTTGTGGCCGGAGGAAAGATGTTTTGCTGCCTTTCCCATCCTGGACAGTAATGACCAACCCCAGCTTTTTGAAGGAATGAAATATGTATGAAAGACCTGCTCGGTGGTGGCCCCCAAACTGGGCAGCAGCTAGGACAGAGAGGTTCATCTACTGAAAACTGAGTCAAGCAGTCCTAGCTACCTCTATGCTCTGAACCTGAGTCTTTCTCCAAAATCTTAAGTAGTAGATCCATAATCATGTCAACGTCTTGTTCAGTGTTCATGTCAAAAACTGGACCTGGGACTTCTGTATGTGAAGCTTTAGGTCAGTGTTTCTCAAACCTTGGAGGGCTTAGATATGAGTGGGTTCCTCACACACCACAACCCCCCA